CATACACTGCTGGTGGGAATGTAAATTAGTTCAACTTCTGTAGAAAACAGTGTGGAGATATCTCAAAGAACTGAAAGTAGAATTATCATTTGAGCCAGCAATCCCACCTACTGGGTATCCCCCCAGAGAAAATAAATCATTATATTAGAAAGACAACCAGAACTTGTATGTTTATTGCAGCACTATTTACAATAGTAAAGTCATGAAACCAACCTAAGCATGCACCAACAATGGAGTAGATCAAGAAAATGTGGCATATTCTGGACATAGAAATGGGCAAAGATTTCATGACAAAGATACCAACAGTAATTGCAACAAAAGCAAAAATTTACAAATGGGAGCTAATTAAACTAAAAAGCTTCTGCACAGCAAAAGAAACTATCAACAGAGTAAACAGACAACCTAACAGAATGGGAGAAAATGTTTCCAAATTATGCATCCAACAAAGGTCTACTATCTAGCATCTATAAGGAACTTAAACAAATTTACTAGAAGAAGAACAACCCCATTAAAAAGTGGGCAAAGGACATGAACAGACGCTTCTCAAAAGAAGTCATACATGTGGCCAATAAGCATATGAAAAAAAAGTTTAGCATCGTTGATCATTAGAGAAATGCAAATCAAAACCACAATGAGATACCATCTCACACCAGTCAGAATGGCTATTATTAAAAAGTCAAAAATTAACAGGTGCTGGCAAGGTTGTAGAGAAAAAGAAATGCTTATATTCTGTTGGTGGGAGTATAAAGTAGTTCAACCATTGTAGAAAGCAGTGGGGCAATTCCTCAAAGAGCTAAAAACAGAACCACTGGCCGGGTGCAGTGGCTCACGCCTATAATCCCAGCACTTTGGGAGGCCGAGGTGGGAGGATCACGAGGTCAGGGGTTCAAGACCAGCCTGGCCAACATGGTGAAACCCCGTCTCTACTAAAAATACAAAAATTAACCAGGCATGGTGGTGCATAGTCCCAGCTACTCGGGAGGCTGAGGTAGGAGAATTGCTTGAACCCAGGAGTCAGAGGTTGCAGTGAACCAAGATCACGCCACTGCACTCCAGGCTGGGTGACAGAGCGAGACTGTCTCAAAAACAAACCAAACAAACAAACAAAAAACAAAACAAAACAAAACCCAGAAATCCCATTACTGGGTATATTTCCAAAAGAATATAAATCATTCTATCATAAAGACACATGCACATGTATGTTCATTGCAGCACTATTCACAACAGCAAAGACATGGAATCAACTTAAATGCCCATCAGTGATAGTAGACTGGATAAAGAAAACGTGGTACATATACACCATGGAATACTATGCAACCATAACAAAGAACAAGATCATGTTCCTTGCAGGAACATGGATGGAGCTGGAGGCCATCATCCTTAGCAAACTAATACAGGAACAAAAAACCAAACACTGCATGTTCTCATTTACAAGTTGGAGTTAAATGAGAACACATGAACACATAGAGGGGAACAACAGACACTGCGGCCTATTGAAGGGTGGAGGATGGGAGGAGGGAGAGGACCAGGAAAAATAACTAATGGGTACTAGGCTTAATACCTGGGTGATGAAATAATCTGTACAACAAACACCTGTGACACAAGTTTACCTATCTAACAAACCTGCACACGTACCCTTGAACTTAAAAGTTAAGGGCTGGGCGCAGTGGCTCACGCCTGTAATCCCAGCACTTTGGGAGGCCGAGGTGGGTGGATCATCTGAGGTCAGGAGTTCAAGACCAGCCTGGGCAACATAGTGAAACCCTGTCTCTACTAAAAAATACAAAAATTAGCTGGGCGTAGTGGCGAGCACCTATAATTCCAGCTACTTGGGAGACTGAGGCAGGAGAATCACTTGAACCCAGGAGGCAGAGGTTGCAGTGAGCCAAGATCACACCACTGCATTCCAGCCTGGGCAACGGGTGAAACTCTATCTCAAAAAATAAATACAAAGATAAATAAATAAATGTTAAAAAAAGAAAATGTGATATAGATACACCATGGAATACTATGCAATCATAAAAAAACAATGAAATCATTTCCTTTGCAGCAACATGGATGCAGTGGAGGCGATTATCCTAAGTGAACTCACACAGAAACAGAAAATCAAATATTGCATTTCTCATTTATTAAATGGGAGCTAAACAAAGGGTACACATGGACATAAAGATCGAGAAAATAGACTCTGAGGACTTCAAAAAGGGGGAGGTTGCGAGGGTGTGAGGGTTGAAAAATTACCTATTAGATATAAGTTCCAATATTTGGGTGATGGGTACACTAGAAGCCCAACCCCCACTATTACTCATGTAATACCCATGTAACAAACAAGTGCATGTACCCTCTGGATCTAAAATAAAATTTAAAAAATTAAAAAGAAAATTTAATACATTTTCATGATGAAATCTTTCAGCAAACTAGGAATAGAAGAAAAATACCTCAACGTAATAAAGGTCATAATGAAAAGCCCACAACGAACATACTCACGGTGAAAACAGAACTACCATATAATCCAGCAAGTCCATCTCTGGCTATTTATTCAAAAGAATTGAAATAAGGAACTTGGAGAGATATTTGCACTCCTATGTTCATCACATCATTATTCACAACCAAGATATGGAAACAACCTAAATGTCCATCAATCGATGAATGAATAAACTGTGGTATGCACTTACGATGGAATATTATTCAGTGTTAAAAATGGAGGAAATCTTGCCACATATGACAACACGAATGAACTTTGAGGACATTATGCTAAGTAAAATAAGCCAGTGATAGAACAAATACTGTGTGATTCTACTTAGATGAGGTATTTAAGATAATCAAAATCATAAAACCAGATAATAGAATGGTGGTGGCCAGGGATTGGGAAAAAGGGGAAATGAGGAGTTGCTATTCAATGGGTATCAAGTGTCAGTTATGCAAGACGAATAAGTTGTAGAGATATGTTATATAACGTCATGCCTATAGTTAACAATATTGTAAATTTTGTAAACTTAAAATTTGTTGAAAGTAGATCTCATGTTGTGTTCTTACTATAATGAATTTTTTTAGAAAGATATTTCATGCAAAGACTAACCAAAGGAGAGCAGAGAGAGATGGCTATACAAATATAAGGCAAAATAGACATTAAGGCAATAACTGTTACAAGAGACAAAGAAGGACATTAAATAATGATAAAATGGTCAGTGCACCAAGAAGTAGAACAATTATCAACATATTCGTTAAATATCAGATCTCCTGAATACAAAAAATAAACACTGACAGACTTGAACGGAGAAGGCCGGGCGTGGCGGCTCACGCCTGTAATCCCAGCACTTTGGAAGGCCGAGGTGGTGGATTACCTGAGGTCAGGAGTTCAAGACCGGCCTGGCCAACATGGCGAAACCCTATCTCTCCTGAAAATACAAAAAGTTAGCTGGGCATGGTGGTGTGCACCTGTAATCCCAGCTACTTGGGAGGTTGAGGCAAGAGAATTGCTTGAACCCAGGAGGCAGAGGTTGCAGTGAGCTGAGATCGCACCATTGCACTCCAGCTTGGGCGACAGAGTGATACTGTCTCAAAAAAGAAAAGAAGAAAGAAAAAAGAATTGAACAGAGAAATAAACAGAACTACAATAACAGTAGGGGGCTCCAAGACTACACATTCATATAGAAAAAACAACCATATGGAAGATCAATAAAAAAATAGAGGACTTGTACACACTATAGGCCAATTAGATATAACAGAACACTTACCCACCAATAGCAGAATACACATATTTCTCAAGTACACATGGAACATTCTCTAGGATAGACCATATGTTAAGCCACAAAACAAGTCAATAAATCTAAAAATATTGAAAACATACAAAGTATCTTTTTCTTTTTTTTTCTTTTTTTTTTTTTTTTTTTTGAGACAAGGTCTCCCTCTGTCCCCCAGGCTGGAGTGCAGGGGCGCGATCTCAGCTCACTGCAACCTCCACCTCCCGGGTTCAAGTGATTCTCCTGTCTCAGCCTCCTGAGTAGCTAGGAGTACAAGCACGCACCACCACGCCCAGCTAATTTTTGTATTTTCAGGAGAGGTGAGGTTTCACCATGTTGGCCAGGCTGGTCTCAAACTCCTGAGCTCAAGTGATCTGCCCACCTCAGCCACTCAAAGTGCTCGGATTACAGACATGAGCCACCACGCCCGGCGTCTTTTCTAATCACAGTGGAATGAAACCAGAAATCAGCAGCAGAAGGAAAACTGGAAAATTACCAAACGTGGAAATTGAACAACTCACTTGTAAACTACCAATGGATCAAAGAAGAAATCACCAGGGAAATTAGGAAATATCTTGAGATGAATGAAAATGAAAATACAGGCCGGGTGCGGTGGCTCTCGCCTTTAATCCCAGCACTTTGGGAGGCTGAGGTGGGCGGATCACCTGAAGTCAGGAGTTCAAGAGCAGCCTGGCCAACATGGTGAAACCCCGTCTCTACAAAGAATACAAAAATTAGCCGGGTTTGGTGGCACACACCTGTAACCCCAGCTACTTGGGAGGCTGAGGCAGGAGAATTGCTTGAACCCGGGAGATGAAGGTGGCAGTGACGTGAGATCACGCCACTGCACTCCAGCCTGGATGACAGAGCAAGACTTCGTCTCAAAAAAAAAAAAGAAAAGAAAAGAAAAAGAAAATGAAAATACAACTTACCAAAACTTGTAGGATGTGGCAACTGCACTGGAAAGGGAACTTTATAGCTGTAATCACTTATACTAAAAAAAAGAAAGATCTCAAATGAACAATCTAACTTTACACTGTAAGGCTCTAGAAAAATAAAAACAAAATAACCCAAAGCTAGAAGAACGAAGGAAACAATGGAGCAGAGAAAAATGAAATAGTAAATAGAAAAATAATCGAGAAAATCAAGAATATCAAGAGTTGCTTCTTTGAGAAGATTAACAAAATTGACAAATTGTTAGCCAGATTAACTAAGAAAAAAAAAGAGAAGACCCAAATAACTAAAATCAGAAATAAAGAGTGGACGTTAAAACCAATGTTACGGTTCCACCGTGGCCTGCGGCCCAGGGACTGCTTCGAAACTACTGGGAGCGACTACTGCGGAAGCTTCCGCAGAGCCGGCCGGGCTTTCCCAGTCCTCCGTGGGGACCAGCATTAGCAGTACAGGGCCCAGCCATATTTACAGAGCCAGCAAATGATACCAGTGGAAGTAATGAGAATTCCAGCCTTTGGTACAGTATCTTTTGGATTGCAGCTCCCAAAAACAGACGCACCATTGAAGTTAACTTGTGTAGGAGAAGAAACCCTCAGAAGCTTATTAAAGTTAAGAACAGTATAGGCGGGCACGGAGGCTCACACCTGTAATCCCAGCACTTTGGAAGGCCGAGGTGGGCAGATCACGATGTCAGGAGATCGAGACCAGCCTGGCCAATATCGTGAAACCCCGTCTCTACTAAAAATACAAAAAATTAGCCGGGCATGGTGGCATGCGCCTGTAGTCCCAGCTACTCGGAAGGCTGAGGCAGAAGAATCGCTTGAACCCGGGACACGGAGGTTGCAGTGAGCCGAGGTCGCACCACTGCACTCCAGCCTGGGTGACAGAGCGAGACTTTGTCTCAAAAAGAAAATTAAAAAAAAGAACAATACAGATGTTTGTCCTGAATGTGGTCACCTGAAACAGAAATGTCCTTTGTGGCTACTGCTATGAGAAAGTGCACAAGGAGACTGCAGAAATCAGACGACAGATAGGGAAACAAGAAGGGGGGCCTTTTAAGGCTCCCACCATAGAGACTATGGTGCTGTACACGGGAGAGACACCATCTGAACAAGATCAGGGCAAGAGGATCATTGAACGAGATGGAAAGCGACCATCTTGGTTCACCCAGAATTGACAACAAAGATGTTAAAAGGATAGCTTCACAGTAAATCATTTCTCCTGAAATAGAGGAAGATTCTTTATGTTGTTGTGCTTGTTTTTTAATTATCAATATAGTTTAACACATTCTTTCTAAGCAGTTTTGTGTGGGATAATTTGAAGAATATATTATGAGTAAATGCTGAAAATTTTGTTTATCCAAAGGCTCAATGGATTATGTTTCTATTACATATAAGGATTAAGTAAATATAAAATTTCCAGAACAAAAATAAAAAATTTAAAATTTATAGCAAGAAAAAAAAACAATTTTACAGAAATATAAAGGATCTTAAGAGACTACTGTGAATAATTATAGGTCAACAAATTGGATAACCTAGATGAAAGGGACAAATTCCCAGAAAACAAACCCACCAAAACTGAATCATGCGGAAATAGAAAATCTGAACAAATCTGTAATTAGCAAGGACACTGAATCAGCTATCAAAAACCTCCCAAAAGAAAACCTCAGGACCCTATGGGTTCACTCATGGATTCTACAAAGCGTTTAAAGAAGAACACAGATACCCCTGAAACTCTTCCAAAAAAAAAAAAAAAATTGAAGAGGACGGAAAACTTCTAAACTCATTTAATGAGACTAGCATTCTCCTGATACCAAAGCCAGACAAAGGCACTACAAGAAAACTATAGACCAATATCTCTGATAAATATTGATTCAAAAATATTCAACAAAATAATAGCAAACAGAGTTCAACAGCACATTAAGAGAATTATACATCATGACAAGTGGATTTATTACTGAAATGCAAGGTTGGTTCAACATATGAAAATCAATCAATGTAATAAACCACATTAACAGAATAATGGAAAAAGTCCACATTATCACCTCAACTAACATAGAAAAACATTTGACAAAATTCAACAGCCACTTATGATAAAAACACTCTATAAACTAGGAATGAATAGCAGGAAAATACCTCAAGATACTAAAGGCCATATATGAAAAGCCCACAGCTAACATCATACTTAACAGTGGAAGATTCAAAACGTTTCCTATAAGATGAGAAACAAACAAGGATTCCCACTATCATCACTTCTATTCAACATTGTATTGGAAGTTCTAGCCAGAGCAATTAGAAAAGAAAAAGAAATAAGAGGCATCCAAATTAGAAAGGAAGAAATAGTTATGTCTAATGATATGATCTCATATGCAGACAACCATAAAGATTACACACACAGACACACACAGAGAGACACACACACACCTGTTAGAACTAAAAAATAAATTTAGTGAAGTTGCAGAATACAAAATCAACACACAAAAATCAGTTTCATTTCTCTAACAATGAACAATTTGAAAAGGAAATTAATTTTAAAATTCTATTTAGAATAGAAAAGGCCAGGCGTGGTGGCTCACACCTGTAATCCCAGCACTTTGGGAGGCCGAGGCAGGTGGATCACGAGGTCAGGAGATCAAGACCATTTTGGCTAACACGGTGAAACCCCGTCTCTACTAAAAAAAACAAAAAAATTAGCCGGGCATGGTGGCAGGTGCCTCTAGTCCCAGCTACTTGGGAGGCTGAGGCAGGAGAATAGCTTGAACCCGGGAGGCAGAGGTTGCAGTGAGCCAAGATTGTGCCACTGCACTCCAGCCTGGGCAACAGAGTGAGACTCTGTCTCAAAAACAAAACAAAACAAAACAAAACAAATACTACAAAGTGTTGCTGAAGAAAACTGAACTGAACTGTGTTCATGGATTGGAAAATAATATTGTTAAAATGTCAATAGTACACAAAGTGATCTACAGATTTATTGCAATCAATATCAAAGTCACAATAGTATTTTTTGCAGAAATAGAAAAATGTATCCTGAAATTAATATTTCAAGGGACCCCAAGTACCCTAAACAATCTTTTAAAAAAGAACAAAGTTGTATTTTTCCCACTTCATGATTTCAAAGCATATTACATAGCAGCCAGGCGTGGTGGCTCACACCTGTAATCCCAGCACTTTGGGAGGCCGAGGCAGGTGGATCACGAGGTCAGGAGATCAAGACCATTTTGGCTAACACGGTGAAACTCCGTCTCTACTAAAAATACAAAAAAATTAGCCAGGCATGGTGGCAGGTGCCTCTAGTCCCAGCTACTTGGGAGGCTGAGGCAAGAGAATGGCATGAACCCGGGAGGTGGAGCTTGCAGTGAGCCAAGATCACGCCACTGCACTCCAGCCTGGGTGACAGAGCCAGACTCTGTCTCGAAAACAAAACAAAACAAAACAAAACAAGCATATTGCATAGCTACAGTAATCAAAACAGTGTGGTACTGACATAAAAACAGACATATAGACCAATTCTAATACATGTGTAGTGGTTTCTGATTGTTATTTTAATTTGCAATTACCACTACATACCTATTATAAGGGCTAAAATCCAAAAAACTGACAACACCAATGGCTGCTAGGGATGTGAAGCAACAGGAACTCTCATTCATTGCTGGTGGGAATGCAAAATGTTACAACCACTTTGGAACACAGTTTGGCAGTTTTTTATGAAACTAAACATACTCTTATCATATGATGCTATAATCACACCCTTTGGTATTTACCCTAGTGAGTTCTAAACGTCCATCCATACAAAAACCCTCATATGAGATTTTTTATAGCAGCTTTATTCATAATTGCCAAAACTTGGATGCAAGCAAGATGTCCTTCAATAGTGATAAACAAGCTGTTGGTACATTCATACAAGGGAATATTATTCAATACTAAAAAGAAATGAGCTATAAAGCCATAAAGAAAAAGGATGAATCTTAACTTCAGATTGCTAAGTGAAGGAAGCCAATCTGAGAAGGCCACATACTGGGATTCCAACTATATGACATTCTAGAAAGGGCAAAACTATGAAGACAGTAAAAAGGTCAGTGGTTCAGAGAGATTCAGAAGTGGTAGTAGGGAGAGAGTAGGTGAAACACAGGTAATATTTAGGGTTTGATACTGTAATGGTGGACACATGTCATTACACATTACATTTGTCATAACCCATAGAAGGTACAACACAGAATCAACCCTAATGTAAATTATGTATTTTAATTAATAATATATCCATATTGATTCATCAATTCTAACAAATATACCACACTAACTCAAGATGTTAATAACAGGAAAAATAAGCAGAGTGAGGTGGTATATGGGAACTCTCTATACTTTCCACTCAATTTTTCTTTTCTTTTATTTCCAACTTCTATTTTAAGTTCAGGAGTACATGTGCAGGATGTGCAGGTTTGTTACATAGGTAAATGTGTGTTATGGTGGTTTGCTGCACAGATCATTCCAGCACCTGAGTATTAAGCCCATAATCCATTAGCTGTTCTTCCTTATGCTCTCCTTCCTCTCACTTCCCATCCTCTGACAGCCCCCAGTGTGTTTTGCTCCCCACTATGTGTCCATGTGATTTCATCATTCAGCTCCCACTTGTTTGTGTCCTTTCTGATTTCCTTAAGCAGTGTTTTGTAGTTCTCCTTGTAGAGGTCCTTCATTTCCCTTGTTGGCTGTATTCCTAGGTATTTTATTCTTTTCGTAGCAATTGTGAATGGGAGTTCGTTCATGATTTGACTCTCTGCTTGCCTGTTGTTGGTGTATAGAAATGCTAGCAATTTTTGCACACTGATTTTTGTATCCTGAGATTTTGCTGAAGTTGCTTATCAGGTTAAGAAACTTTGGGGCTGAGACAATGGGGTTTTCTAGATACAGGATCATGTTACTTGCAAACACAGATAGTTTGACTTCCTCTCTTCCTATCTGAATACCTTTATTTCTTTCTCTTGCCTCATTGCCCTGGCCAGAACTTCCAATACTGTTTTGAATAGGAGCCCAGTTCTGAGCCCTTGCTGGAGAGGTGTTTCAATCATTTGGAGGAAAGAGGACACTCTGGCCTTTTGAGTTTTCAGTCTTTTTGCACTGATTCTCATCTTTGTGGGTTTATCTACCTTCAGTCTTTGAGGTTGCTGACCTTTGGATTGGATTTTTGTGTTTGTTGTTGTTGTTTTCTGTTTGTTTTTCTTTTTAGTCTTCCCACTCTTCCACAGGGCTGCTGTGGTTTGCTGGGGCTCCACTCCAGACCCTAGTTGCCTTGGTTTTTCCTGTACCTGAAGGTATCACTGGTGAAACAGGAAAGATGGCACCCTGTCCCTTCCTCTGGAAGCTCTGTCCCAGGAGTGTACTGGCCTATTGCCAGCCCGAACACACCTGTAGGAGGTGGCAGGAGACCCCGGTTGGGAGGTCTCATCTAGTCAGGAGGAACAGGATCAGGGGCTTGCTTAAACAAGCAGTCTGGCTGCTTTTTGGTAAGGCACCTGTGCTGTGTTGGGGATTCCTTCAGTCCCCAAATGGTTTGAGCTCTCGAAGGCCCACAAACTGGACCAGCTGAGAAGCCCAGACGGCCAAGGTGGTGGCCTGCCCTGCCCCTCAGGCACTCCATCCCACGGAGAAATTAGAGCTCTGTTGGCCCTGTAGAACGTGAGTGGGGGTGGCCAGATGCCCCATCTAGGAGGACCCGGCTGGGAGGACCTGCCCTGCGAGGAGGAGTGGATCAGGGTCCCACTTAAAGAAGCAGCCTGGCCACACCTTGACAAAACAGCTGTGTTGTGGTGGGGAACTGCCTCTGCCCGTGTCACCTTAGACTCTCCAAAGCGCGCAGGCTGGAAGGGCTAAGTCCTCCTCCAACCAACCCAGGTGGCAGCCCTCCCCTCCCCCAGGCACTCCCTCCCAGGGAGAAATCAGAGCTCTGTGCCTAACACGTGAGGACGGGTGTGGCTGGAGTGCCTGGCTGGGAGGTCCCACTCAGTGAGGAGGAATGGATGGGGCCCTGCTTAAAGAGGAAGTCTGGCCACAATTTGGCAAGGTTGCTGTGCCGCGCTGCTGGGGGTACCCTTCCTCCTCTGGACCATTTGGACTCTCCAAAGCCTGCAGGCTGGAATGGCTGTCATTCAACCAACACAGGTGGCGGCCTTCCCCTCCCTCAGGC